TATTCCGTGTGGGCTATGTTTAGTGGGGTGTGTGTGTGTGGGGGGGGGGGTTATTAAAGGACAACTTAACTTAAGTCAAAGTAACCCTTTATATAGAAATGTAATGTTTAACAGAATGAATTTACAATATGGCCTGCATCATATTTGTGTAGGTTTTATCAATATTGTTTAACAGAAATCTAAATTTCTATTAATTACACAGTACTTACAATGATAATGATGTGCAACATTTAGTAGCCCGCAGCAACTAATTTCACTTTTGATCTTTTAAAAGAAGTCAGAACAATGAGCGATGATTGCAGGCAAATTGTTTACATAGTCTGTATTTTGCAAATTGCTCCTCATGTTATTAAATAAATTTGTGAATAAACACCAGCAAAGGGAATGAATTAGCTACTACAAAATGAATACTTACTGATGCATTTAAATTGAGAAATTGCTTTCGATGCCAGGAGTCTGGCGCAGTAGCATTTGGCAAGGGAATGCTTGATTTGGGCGAATGGGTGTCAGTATTTTCAGCAACCAATAATGTTAGTTAGAATGATTAGGGGTCAAAGTGCACTTGAGCCCAGACAATGAACGTTTTCACATATTTTTAACAAGCAGTAAAAAAAAAAAGTTGTAATGTAATACTGCATTATGGCCACTAGATGAAGCACTGAGTGTTAAAAATAAATACTTATTTTCTATGCTCTTCAGCTCCATCTAGTGGCCATAATGCAGTATTATATTACATTCAACCTAAAAAAATATACTGAGATCGTTTGTTTTTGCCTCTATTTGAACGTTCACAGAGATTCACAGGTCAAGAGGTCTATGGTCAAGGCTCTTAGCAATTAAATCTGTTGTTTTGCATTGAATTTGTATTAATTTGTATTCTATTTGTAGTAATAACGCATTATTTTCGTTTTCCTTTTTTAATAATCCATTGTTCTCTTACGCTGTAATAATTAATATTATGCTTGTTTCTTCTTAAGATGGGACACAGCTGGACAAGAGAAGTTCAAATGCATTGCTTCAGCATATTACAGAGGAGCACAAGGTGAGGTTATAGAATAAATACAGAATTGTCCAAACCACAATGAGTAGTTTCTTTGTGTTCCATCATCCAGATGTTCTACAACAAACAAAATCTGGATTGCATCAATTAATTGATGTTGTACAGATTATGTTTTTTTTCTTTCAGTGATTATTACTGCTTTTGATTTGGGTGACATCCAGACCCTGGAGCACACTAGGTAAGTTCCAGGCATGTGGGCAGCCCCCAGGAGATTGCATGCAGACCTATCCTGCTATCAGATATCTTTATTAAAGGAAATGTAAGTTATATGTGTTGGCTGCCACCGACAACAAGAATGCAAATCAGAAGTTCTGCACTGGCTGCATTCTTTTTCCATCTCAATGACTCAGAAAGAATTGAAGTCAGAGGATTTGTAGGAAACAAAGGAAGGTCAGCAACGCTCTTTCTTATTTCAGGCACTGGCTTCAGGATGCTCTTAAAGAAAATGAACCTGACTCGTGCTCTGTATACCTTGTTGGGACTAAAAAAGACACATTGGTGAGTAAAGGGGCCAGTATTTTGGGTCATTTCAGTATTATGTCAGTTTAGGTAAACTTGCTGTTTTCTATAGAAATTCAGGTGTGGCATGTTGGCATTGCAATTCACACAATGATCACACAATGGGAATTAGTAAATGTACTTTACATGTTTAACAGAGCACAAACCACAACCTGAAATGTCCTTTTGTGAGTTAATTTCAGCTTGTAAATCCTCCGATACAAAGGGGGCAAACATATCGGGGGGGGGGGAGGGGGGCTTTATCAAAATCTGGCACAGATTGGCACTGCAAACAATCAACTTTTCTGTCTCATTTTCAAATCTTACCTGAGCAACCTGAAGAGAGATGCTGATTGGTTGCCATGGGCAACTGCTCCAGATTCTGTCTGCTCCAGTTTTGATACATCCCACCCAATGTGTTTTCTGTACACAAACAAGGACAAAAATGAGCAATGCCACTGCATCAATCAGGTTCTTCTATTTATGTTTAATCCAATAATTTGGCAGGGCATGGCAAAGGAGGAGATCTGGCCAGGATTCCATATGCACAATCTCTTTATACCGTTGAAGCCCAATTATAGCCAGTACTGTTGGTTTAGTTTTCAATAGAGTGGTGAAGACTTAGAACCTCTGTCAGGTTTTTATTACAGAGTGTGTCTCCGCTTTGGAGATCTCTTTCACTTCCTGTCCCAGTGGCTGCCTGTCTCACATAGACACGTGGGAGCTGGGGCAGAATGTTAAAGTGTTTGTCTAAGAAAAATAATGTAAAAAAATATGCAGTACATCTCTGCAATACATATATTGACCCTTTGGCATCTTAACATCTAATGTATCTAATGCAGGTCTATGGAACCTGCATTAGACATAATGACATCAGTTGTCCTTAGACTGCCGAAGCGGTTTGCATTTGGCCATTTTCCTCACCCTATATTGTAGTTCCAACTGAGCACATCATGTAATTTACACAGAGGACAAATCGGCCATTTTTCAAAGAGGGGACTGAGAAAACAACTAAAAAAAGTAAGTTTTTGTGCTTATATCCTAGATCTGCATATGCCTGCTTCATGTGCACTCTTTGTGCATTGCTGGCATATGATTTTTTAAAATGCCCCCACGAAGGTGGAAATGTCCTATAAGCATTTGGTTCTGCTCTAGTGATGTGACATCTGCACCTACATCTTCTCAAGCTCTTCTTCCGGGTTTGGCACCTTCGGCCATATTTATTGGCCGGGCTCCAGGATGACATAACTTCCATGCATATGCAGATTTATCCGAGGTATGGCCAGAATGCACAGCTCACTGTACTTTCTACAGAGACACAGAAGCGGGAAGGTAAGAAGGTTTTATTGCAGGAGAGGCATCCCTGCACCCAAGTGAGCCGTAACTGTACCCAAAGACACCACACCTAAATTATGGCTTCAAAAATGAATGTACAGTTCCATCACAGAGAAAGAGTGGACATGTCTGTGTTATAAACCTGGAAACACTGCAGTTTTATCTTTTATGGATTTGGGGTAAAACATTTCCATTCTAGACATGTTCTGCCTTAGGTTTCAAAGAAACTAGGTAGCAATCTTTTTCCTTTAATTATTAATCCATCTCTTGGTCAATAATGGCTTGTTGCTAGGGGCTTCCATTCTGCCTAGCAGCCACTTAGCCCAAAGTAAACTGTTCAATTAAGTCATAATTAGATATGCACTGGGAAATGTTCATGTGTAGGCTTTCAATTGTCACTGACAAGCATGAAATAATCTGAACTGCAGAAAATAAACAATATGTAAGAAATGTAGGGAATATGTAGAATAGTATCAACATGCACAAGAGTGATTACATATCCCTGGGCTTCACCCGCAAATGCTCAGCAGCTAAGACAAAAATGCTCTAAAGCCCATCTCCAGGCTAACAAAAAAGCTAGGCTTGCACTGGGGCTACTCTGGCACTGCAAGGGTTAGGTGCTCGTTTTTGTATAGGCGCCGGTTTCAAGCAGATTTACTTACTTGATCTCCGCACCCCCAGCGTCTGCGCTCGCCTCTCTACCCCTCCGCACTGGCTGTGGACTGTCCCTTGGCATTCTCACATGTTATGCTGGTCTATGGAACCTGTATTAGACATGATGACATCAGCCGTCCTAAGACCACCGGAGCCCAGGAAGAAGAGGCTGCAGGGACTGGTCTATCAGCCCAGAGGAAGTCAGCAGAAGCAGGGATCAGGTAAGTAACAAGCACTAAAAAGAGAAGGATATCAGGGGAGCGAGCTATAGAGATAAATGTAATAGACACCGATGTATCCAGTTTTAAGGACGCTGACCTATAGACAATAGACCATACGCTGTTGACTTTTTTTTTTGTAGCCGCTGTATGGGTCATTTATTTTGTCCTATAAATCTATGATCAGTTAAGCAAACTGGCTTTACTTCAGCCCCTAGAGGAAAGCAAGCACTTAACCCTTGCAGTGTGGGGGTAGCCCCACTTCAAGAGTACTTTTTATGTTGTCCGGAGATAGGCTTTAAGTATATGGAAATTCCATGTAAGTGTTAAAATTATGGACTGTCCGGATGCTTTACATATGTCTTTACTTTAACAATATGAGCTCTTTTCCAGTACATGATGCCACAACAATGCATTTCTTAAAGGCTTTTACAGCAATCATGTAAATAATGGACAGTTATACGGTACAATATATAAATATATCTCAGGTGTGGAATTATCATTTTTCCCCAACAAAAGCGTCTCTTCCTCATAAACGGGTATTTTGTATCTTAAATCATTGTGTTGCCACCAGGTCAAATTGCTCCTTTTACTGCCTTCGTCAATAAACATCTCATAGAAACTGGCGGTTAATGCCAGCCAGAAGCTAGCTGTATTTTAGGAGCAGATAAGCACATAATCTTTGTGAATTGACTTTTTCATCCTAAATACTGCAGACATCAATAACATAACACAGAAGTGGTAAATTCAGCAGTTCTGTGCTATAAAACCTTGAATTGGAGAGAGCATTAGGTTGATAAATGAGTCAATATTACATGTGAATGAAAATTCCATATACATTAGTCTGCAGGGAACTGACAGTGCTATTAGTCTGTTTTTCAAACATAAACCCTGATTTTCTAGACCGCTGTGTATAGGTTTTGCTGTTTTGGCTTTGCCCAATAGGAAAGACTGTAAGTACAGGCTTTGAATGGAAAGGCTACAAGTCCCATCTGCCCCCACAGCTGAGGGTCTCACGGATCTCAATGAAGCACAAATATTGTGACCTTACCACACTTGTAGTGCACTTTTGCTTCCTCCAGCTCCATAATGGTCTTGGAACTTGGGTTGATATGGATAACATTAAACCACTCTGTCTGGCTTGTCCCTGACAGTGTCAGGATTTAAATGATCAGCAATAGGGGTATGCTGTAGTCAATCTACACGCCAGTGTTTTTTTTGTCAGTATGATGTCAGCAGGTGTATGTGCACCAAGTGCTGCACAAGCCTGTATTTCCTGACCCTGGTGCTGTTCTATAACAATGGGACTTTTTTATAATGTTTTTTGAATTTTCCTTTGTTATTATATGCTCGATTGGTAAAATTAATTGCAATCATATTAGCATTAGTAAGATGTCCTTGGGCCATACTGTGGCATAAATGTTTGTGCAGTACACTTTTTGTGCAGGTAGGGGGCGCTGGTGTCTATAAGAGTCTAAACATACTGCGAAGCTTCATCTTGCATTAGTAGCATCTTGTGCCACAGACTGTCATTTCTACATAAAACCTTTTCTTAAAGGGGTTTATATAATTGGGCACAGGAATGAGAGTGCAGCAGTTGTTTCTGTCTGTGTCAATGTACTGGTTTTCAGCTGACTTTTTGGAATCGTTAGGGTAAAATAAGCTTTATTGTTGAAACAAATTTGTAGTATTGTCATTCCCTGATGGATTTTTACGGCCATACTACATCATGTCCCCTCTTTGCTTCCCTGGTTGCTGCTCTGAAGGCATGTTTGCCCAAAGCTAAATGACTTTGGACACATAATTACCAATTATACATGGTGACTGGTACTGTATTAGTAGGCCAGTCGGCGGCACTATAATCCAGTTCTGTCTTACCACATATATTCTCATGGCGGCAAAGAGGGTAAGCGTTCGGACTTGGAAAACCTCTGCCCTCCCAATACACAAAATATCCCAAATCTTTTTTAATAAACTTTCAGCAATCCTTACACATTTTTATTTTTTTTATTTGGAGTCCATCCCTGAAATTCATGGAGTTTAGAAATCCATCAGAAATCTGTTTCCCATCCATGCAACAAATGATGCAACTTGCAACAGTTTATGTAACTGTTGGTCAGGTGTATATAAAACGGGTACACAATTGTCTCACAATGCTTCTACATGTGATGCAATTTACTCCAACATGGAAGAGGTCCTATTTACCTCCTCTTATCACCAATATGATGGTATTTCTTTAAGAATTTCTTGGCAGCCAAAGCTCCAGCATGTAAAAGTGTTGCACATAAGAACTAACTAAATTTGTTGCATGCGTCGGAAATAGCAAGAACACTGTCACACAGCTTTTATTCGTCACAGGACTTTCTAAAATGGTCATAAAACAAGAAAAGTATTGCAAATGCTTTATTGGATTGCCACTCATATGGTACTTAATACCTGCCTCTGAGTTTTCACATGTGCCCTTGCATCTGCACCTTGCTTTAATGCTGGTTATGAATTGATGAGTGCGTTTGGCATTCGTTTTGCTTGAGTTTTTACATGGACTCCGTGATAATTTAACCTAGGGAGATTGGGCATGAAAAGATTAGGCTATGAGAACTACGCTTATCCAAGACGTCACGCAATCCCTATGTTGCCACGCACTTATCTTATGGGCCTCCTGCTTCTGGGCTCTTGTAGGACAGCCCTTGCCTCCCCCTTTTTTCCCTATCACTCCCCCTTTTCCCCTCAAACCACTCACCTGCCACCATGGCAGAGGGACAGATAGAAATGGAGACCTTACTGCAGTCCATTGTTTATTTCCTCCAGCCCCATAATGTAGGTCCATACCTCTATATGGGGCTGGGATTTAAACAGTGCAGGAGCTTATTCAGTGCACCTGCAATGCGCTGATTTCAGTTGCAATGCTCTGCAGGTCTGAATGCAAAAGAATAATAAATGCACATTTTTTCTGTTATCAGACACTTACACTTTTTTGCCTTTAAAGTGGTTGGTTTCTCACAGCTTAGAGCACCTGCTGTTTGTTTACAAGAGATGGCTACCATGCTTTCAGGGTGGAGCGGAGCTCTGATTTCGGTTGTGAACTCTGAAGATGAATTTCTCCACAATGCCTGCAGCTACATAGATTAATAAGGATTTTTAAAGCTATTTTACGGCATGTAAAACATTTAAAGAAGAACTCTGGGCATAATTATTAGTAACCCTTGCAGTGGTGCTACCCCCGCACTGCAAGGGTTAAGTGTTCATTTTCTTTTAGGGAGGAAAATAAAAAACTGACTCACCTGAACCACGAAGCCGGCTGGCTCCTGGACCATTCCCTGCCGCCTGCCTCCTCCTCCACTCCAGCAACAGAATGTATATACAGTGTATAGAACATGATGACTCACACCACCTTAAACCGCTGTAGCCGAGGGGGAGCGAGGCAGCAGGGACTACTCTAACAGCCAGCTGACTGTGAGGTTCAGGTGAGTATATCTTTGTTTTGTTCCTCCCTAGAGAAAAATGAGCACTTAACCCTTGCAGTACGGGGGTAGCTCCATAATAATAATTTTGCCCAGCGTCTCAGCACAGATACTTTAAAAAGTGCATTAGAAAGAGTCCAGGTTACCTAAAGCAATGAACCATATTTCAGCTTTTACATGTATGACTGTAAATTAGATACTGTTAGTAAATAGGGGATTATCTTGGGTAATTTGAAATGTATTTATGGAATAATGCTCGTTAACTCGCATACATTAAAGCAGTGCAACAGTGTGAATCCATCCTAAATGTCCATAGTCTAAATATAATCTGTGATTTGTGCTTATTATCCTCATTTGATCAGTGCGTATGTTGTGTATATGTTTTAGGTCAGTATATAGTATTTCTGGCTATAGACCCTAGTATGTTTTAGGACAGTGGTTGCATGTACGTTGACATAGATTCATTATGTTCCTTGTCTACTTCCCTGTCAGTCAGATGCTGAGTGTGAACGGACAGAGCGAGATGCTTTGAATTTTGCTGTGGAGATGAATGCAGAATATTGGTCTGTCTCTGCCAAAACAGGTAACAGTGATCATTTCTATTACTCAGTGTAAATCCCAATGCTTCATACTTACAAAAACTATATATAATTGTGTTGTTGTGTTACTTTTCTCAGGTGAAGAAGTAAAGGATTTCTTTTTTCGGGTGGCAGCTCTGGCCTTTGAAGAGTCCATGAAAAGGGAGCTGGAGAAGAGCGGTCATATCACAGCACAGATTGGAGCTGGTAGTCTTATACGTATGTATGATCAGCCTTACATTTTATACTACCCTGTTTCCCCGAAAATAAGACCTACCCCGAAAATAAGACCTACCCCGAAAATAAGACCTACCCCGAAAATAAGACCTAGTTGTGACCATTCCCAGGGTCGGTGGTGGCATAAGGGGGAACTTGAAGAGCCGCGGGAGGGACGGGAGAGGATCAGCGGTGCCAATATAGCCAGCGCTAGAGGAAGCGAGGCGGCACCGGAGGGAGCAGAGCCGCGTAAGCCGATGACTCCTCTATAGCGCCGGCTCCTGTCACAGGCGGAGTGATACAAAATGCGCTCTGCCTGTGAGGAATCGATAGTGAAAGCGCGCTACGCTCATTTTGGCCAGCGATTGTTTAGCAAATTGCTCTTGGAAAGGTACGGCACCCCTGATTGCCCTGATCACCATATTTTTGTACATGAATAAGTGTGGATTGTTGTACATTAAAAAAAATAAGACCTACCTCGAAAATAAGACCTAGTGTGTTTTTATGAGCCACAAAAAATATAAGACAGTGTCTTATTTTCGGGGAAACACGGTAGAAAGGTGTGAAGCTGTTGGCACTCCAGCTTTTGTGGAACTACAGGTCCAATGAGGCATTGCAATTCTATGATAGCCATAGGCATGGCTCCCAGAGGAAGAAGCATGACGGGATTTGTAGTTTCATTACAGCTGGAGTGCTGAGGTTACCTACCCCTGTTAAAATCAGCATAGTTCATAAAGATTCAGAAACCTCTTGTGGGATGAAGAGAAAAGTGGGTTACCTCCATGTTTCCTGAGTGCTAATATAAAATGTCAAAAAGTACACAGTGCTTTACATTGTGCACATTCACACTGCACTTCACATCAGTCCCTGCCCTCAAGGAGCTTACAATCTAGGGTCCCTTTATGACACACATACAGTGCCAATTTTAGACCGGAGCCAATAACCCTCCAGCATGTCTTTGGAGTGTGGGAGGAAACTGGAGTACCTGGAGGAAACCCACGCAAACACAGGGAGAACATGCAAACTCCTTCCAATGACTCATTTTTGCTTCCTTTGTTGGGAGAAATTAACTATCATGTCAGTTATCTGCATTCCAAGGATCTGTAAATACTAAAGCTGCCCATACACTGCTTAGATTTCAAGCAATGTGCATCCCTGTCAGTTCCCACTGCTCAACCATGTTGATTTTTCAATCGACTTTTGTAGAGGTTGCTGGTTTTGGAATTCTTGGCTGAGCATCCAGATCAGATGCATGCACTGTTCGGGTATCCAGCAGCAGTTGGGTATTCAATTGCCGGCATCTACGATTCCTTCATCCACACTGTTTTATATCAATGGGAAAATTGCTGGATTTATGTGGTTCAGAGAGTGTGTATGACCAGTTTAAAGTGTATTCCCACTTTTCCAGTCAGATTTGAGAACTCCCACTATATGTTTCTTTTGTTGTCCCATTGACAGAGCATACAGTATTTTTTTTAAATACATTTCTTACCTTTTATAGTTGTTTGTTTTGGAGCGGATTTCCGAACAAAAGATCTTTCTTTACCACCCGATAATGCCATCAGACACTTGACGAATTTTGATCAAAATTTTGTTTAATTTTGGAATGAATGAAGTTTCCCGAAGGAAAACCACATTCACTGTCATTTCGTTTGTTCGAGAAAAAAATGTCATCCTGCTCCTTCGACTTTTTTCGTCACTACAGTCGAAATCCATCATCGATCTAACCCCATCAACTAATAGAAAGTTGAACAAAAGATCTTTGGTATGAAAGTTCGTTCGGAAATCTACTAGTGTATGGCCAGCCTTACTTTTGTCTTGCGAGGGTTGTAAAGTCTGTTGTAAAGCCGACAGTCGGCTCTACAAGTTTAAACAGACTCCCGGCGGCAAAAGTCGCCGGGAGTCTGTTTAAACAGCCCCGATGCTGGCGACGTACACTGTACGTCGTCAGTCACGAAGGGGTTAAAAAACTTACAATCTGCCCATCTTGGACATCCAGATTGTACTTGCGAGGGGCGGGCTTCCGATGACTGCAATGCTGAACGGGCAGTGTGCGCGTGCGCACCCCGGCCCGATCGGCAGTTGTCGAACAAGCACGCCACTAACCACAGGTTTTCCAGCCTGTTTGTTCGACGGAAGACGTGCGATCGGACAGTAGAAACGCCTTCCATACACTTTGCGATTATCGTACGATCGCGGGGTTTCCCGCGATTATCATACGATAATCGTACAGTGTATGGGCACCTTAAGTCAGGACTTTGTTGGGGTGCAAAGTGAGTGGGATGGTAGGTTGTAAATTGAAATAGAATAATTTTTAATAAATGAAATGGCATAATGGCTTGTGTGGCAGTTATATTATAATTATGGTATATCATTTATATAAAAGTGAAGTTTATTATTGTTATACTTGCCAAGTTCATTGTTATCTTCCAATCATTATATTGACCTTTGCAAATTGTCAGAAAATGTGTCGCTTGGCTTTCTGCTGTTAAGTTACGTTTTTAACAAACAAATCTCTTTTCCATTCCATTTTCCAGAACTTGAAGGAAATTTACCTGAGAAAAGGGACAATGAATCCCAGCCTAACATGAACTGTTGTTAGATTATGCCTAAGGAACACACCACTTAATACTCTGCAGCCTTTATCGCCACTGGCAGTGTCCAGACAGCAGAGCAAACCACATAAGTTTCCTTTAAATGGTGACCAAACAATGAAGCTCATATCCCATCTTGGGCTTTTAGGGACAATGACAAAACATCTTGAAGCCTGGACTGCATTATCAAGTTGAGATTTGTTTAGCCTACAGCAGAGCAATAATGTGCTCCTTGCATCAGGACTGCTAACCACCATCCCTGGCCAATTTCTGCATCAGCAAGCACAAATGTATAATCTTACATTATGAAGCTTGAATTTCTTTCTGAGAAAAGAAAGAAGCAATAAATCAGGATATCATAGCTTGTATCTAATAAAATGCCAAAGCCTAGCATTTAATTGTATGTATTATGTATTACAGATATGTATGCAGCTCTTCTTATTTCAAAATATATGAATTATGACATGGTAAGATGACTGTTATTATTATGGTCAGGGCCGAATTAATGCATAGCCAACAAAGACTGAGGCATAGGGTGCCAGGACTGCCAGGGGCGGCACAGAAGCACCCACACATGTTGCATACTGTCAGTACACATATTTATGAGTAAAAGATTCCAGGTTGTAGATTTTTGTTGGTTGAATAGTGATTTGTTCACTTACTCTGGAGTCATACAGGTAGAAATTAACTACTAGCATAGTGGATTCAATGTTTGCTTTGCAATTCTAATGGTTGGTTCTTGGTGTTCCAACACCAAGTGGGCAAATGGTTTTTAGCCCCATTGCCCCAGCCTCATCATGTCTTGTGTGCCTGTAATGTCTGATCTTGTTGGTTTTTTTTACAGGTATTTGTATAGCCTTGACAACTTACACAGTGCTTTTACATATTGTACATTCACATCAGGCCTGCCCTCAATAGCTTGCAATCTAAGCTCTCTATCTCACATGCATGCATCACGCATATAGATCTACTAGGGCCAGTTAAGACAGGAGCCAATTAGCCTAGCAGCATGTCTTTGGAGTGTGGGAGGAAACCCATCAATTGCAGAGGAAGAACATGCTAAATCTATGCAGGTAGCATTCTGCTTGGGATTAGGACCCTAGTGCTGTAAGGCAGGAGTGCTAACCACTAGGTCACTGCTCCGCCCACACCACAGTTATTATTATATTAAGGCTAGCCCGTTGACTGGGATAGAAGGGGAGAGGCAAAAGTCAGTTGGCTAATGGGGGCAGGAAGTAAACATTCGGTACTGATCATGCTCAGTAGTGTCTTTTTTTTCTCTCTAGTATTTTTCACTGCCTTATGTGTGTTCCATCATTAGACTGTTAGAGGTTAATTAACCACAGCAGTAGAGACTGTTCACTTTGCTAAGGTAATGTTCACTGAGCTTATTGAATAAGGTGATATAGTGACTACCCAAATATGTGAAAGGAAAATGGAAAAAAAAAACAGGATTTTTTCTTGCAAATGATTAGATGATTGACATGAACACAGCTTTACCTTAAAGTAGTTTTAAGCTCTCAAATATTTTTAAAATAATGAATCCAGATCAAACAAATATACATTGCCCAGCAAAGTATTTCCTTAAATGTTTGCCCAAACACTTACAGCCATCATGTTTCAGAACAGCTCCAACTCTCTCAGCTCCACATCTTGAACTTCCTGATCAGTACAAGGTCATAAGGGGCAAAACAGCAGCTCTCCATCTACTAGCTTGGAGGAGGGGGGAGCAGAGTAGTAGCTTGACCTGCTGTGCCTGTGTGTTTGTGGTGACACAAACACAAGTGTGGCTCCATAGGGCCCTGCAAGGGAAGGGAGCCACCCTAAAACAGGATGTCAGGGGCCAGTGCTCGAGACCAGCTGATTCTGCAGGAAACTAAAACTTTTAAACATCAATGAGCAGCATCCATTGTAAGGGATTGGATCAGCATTGGAAATCACTTTAAAACATATTGACGTTAATTTCACTTTATTAAGTGCAGTAAACATTCACTTTGCTAAGGGGACCAGCCTTTATCATTTAGTAAATGTGGCCCCCCTTGTGTCAGGTAGACATGGACTTTGACAGGTACCCCTGCATACTTGAATGCAGGAGAGGATCTGTGAACTGACCATATTAGCCAGTGCAATGGTCAGAAAGACCAAGGGCAAAGCCCTTGCTGGTTCACTCAGTGTAAGAATGCCCCCTGGTTATCATTGCAGAGGTTCTACTAAAGTTCATAGAAAGAGGGAGGCAACAGAAAGGTGGAAGTAGTATTGTAGTATTGCATCTTCCAAACACTAGTACCTGACACAAGCTGAAGCCAGTCTAAACTGTGCACTGTACCAACTGATGTATGATCAGTCTGTGCCACACTAGTAAGTGGTTTTAATAATATCACAATAATGTTTTCAGTATCATAGACAACTTCTCTGTAATATTTACCAAGTTGTAAAGGTAAATTACAAATTTAATTGTCCTTTTTTTACTTCTGTATCTTGTAAATGTATTTTAGTTTCTCTTAAATGTATCAGAAAATGATGTAATTTTATGTTCTGTACTTTCATTTTACTGCATATTGTAACATCTATATTAATAATTACTCTTGGGAGAAAAATAAAAAGGAAATGTTTAAGAAGCATTGTGTCTGGAAGATTATATTTGATAAGCAAGGATTTTATCACTAGCCATTCAGATTGTGACATTAGTGCAGGTCATTAGCTGTGTGACCTCTGTATGACTTGTGTCTTGTGAACGCAATAATCAATTGGTGCTACGTTACCAGTATTTGCATTGTCTGGAAATGTCCAATCGGTGCCGGGTTTAATTTTTCAGTAAGCGAGCTTTGAGCTTCGCAACCGATTGATAAGACTTGGAGCTAATAAACTAGAGCAAAGAAAAGCAGGGAGTGACCTTTTCATCAGACCATTCATTACCACAAATTTTTTTTCCTATTGCATTTAATGTATTTATGTATGTTATTTATCTGTAAAAGCCTCCCTTGTGTGGACATCTAAAAGCCATGAGGCTGCTGCTGGCCGCTGCCATCATGGATGTGATGTCAGCAGACTCAGGGCTGTCACTCAAGTGACAATCTATAGTATTCACTCCTAAATGGGTAGGTGAGGGGAGGGGCCAAGGAGCTGAGCCAGCACAGAGAGTAATTAGATACTCCTGGAAGAGGAGAGGGCTGTTATGTGCAGGGTGGTAGGTGGTTCTGCTAGGGAATTGACTCTCCTAGAGTAATCACATTTTCTGGCAAGTTTAATAGAACATTGCAACTGAATTAAAAAACATTTATGGAAAAACAGTGCAAGTATGCTTTTAAAATACTTGATTTCTACCGTGTTTCCCCGAAAATAAGACACTGTCTTATATTTTTTCCCCCAAAAAAACACACTAGGTCTTATTTTCGGGAGATGTCTTATTTTATTTTTTTAATGTGCAACAAAATGAAAAAATACTGTCACACACAGCTGTCCTGGAGCTCTCCTCTCTGATGCCGTCCAGGGAGCCACCTCGTCACACGGACCTCCAGTCAGAAGTTCCCTCACCTCACTCTGACCCCACTGGCCATGCCGCACTGTGCCGATGCCTACTGGGAAATGTAGTTTTCTGCCCGGCGGCAGCACTCTAAGCAAAAGCCGAGGCAGACAGGTGTGCGGGCGGGAGCTACGCCACGGCGGTCAGTCCCCGCCGTGTATGGATGAAATGTTTTGCGGCCCTTGACATGTTTTATACATGCAGACTTCAGGAGACCAGCTGCTTATTTTCAGGGTATGCCTTATTTTCAGGGAAGCAGGGTATGAGCTTTTAACAGCAATGTTTTAATTTGGTGACAGGGTTTCTATAAAAAAAAACTATTCAGATTGATTGTATTGTTGTTCTAAGTCAAATTAAAATGAGAAATTCAGCTAAAATATATAATTTTACATTTGGTTGGAGTGGGGAATGGTTAGATTCTCTAAGTTTTTTTTTATTGCGGTCTGTGCCCTAACTGGGGAGATTACTTACAAATCCTGGCTAGGTAGGGTTGCCACCTTTTCTTCAACGAAACCCGAACACTCAGGCGACGCGCAGACATTTTTTGGGGAGAATAAGTCGTAGCTTATTCATATGTAAATAGCGCCGCCCATTCATATGTAAATATCACAGTTGAGACTGTTTTCAGTGGGGGGCCAGTAGCCCCTACCTTAATTTTGGTTTCCCCTGTCTGCCTGACATCTTGTGTCCGGGTTTCTGATGCCATGAAACCCGAACACAGCATTCAAAACCTGGACTGTCTGGGTGAATCCTGGGCAGGTGGCAACCCTATGGCTAGGTGACACATGAGGAAGTACTAAAGTAAAGAAACTGGGATACAAACGACAGTAAAAGTGTTTTTTTTTTTACTGCTGCCTATATCTTCAATTAGATATTCTCTGACACAAGAGGAAGTGAGACAATATCCTCTTAGTGGGGATATACACAGCAATAAATACTCGATAAAGGTTCTGAACCCATGCCCTGTCTATCCTAAACTTGACTTCAGTATAGGAAGGGGCTTTTCACAACAAGAGAGGTTAAAATGTCTGAAAGACCTGATTGGTAGAGGCAGTCTCTCTGTTATATATAAATCTCTGATGGAGGGTATTAATACACTACCACCGCAATATGTGATAGCCTGGGAGGAGGAACCAGGAAGACTATTAGAAGAAAAAGAATGGCGCCAGATTTGAGACACAGTAGCCCATTGTTCAATTAATTCATTGGCGGTAGAAGGGAATTATAAGCTTTTGCTTACATGGTATATGGTCCTTATTAATCTGGCAAAGTTCTCAAAGGGGTCCTCCTCGCTTTGTTTTTGAGGCTGAGGGGAGCAAGGCTCGATGGTCCATATATGGTGGAATTGCCCTAAAATTCAGATTTTTTTGGATGGGGGTGTATCAGCTAATAGAGAGAATCATGGGAAGAAGTTTAAGGAAAGACCCATGGGATGCCTTGCTAAATTTAAACCAGAATGCTGCTCGGGAGAACAATTTAGATTGATAACATACATCTTTACAGCATCAAAACAAACAACAGCAAGAGCTTGGAACTTGGAAAAAATTGCATGGTATTGAATAAACGAGAAAATGACTGCAATATTAAAGGACTACATTTTTACATTTAGGAAGGTCTGGCAACCTTGGATTCAAAATTATATGCCTCCAGATTCTGATATATATTTCGAGGATATGAATTCATAGGAATTGAGGTTGCTAGGGATGGGATGGAGGGAGAGGGAGGAAGTTTCTGAGGAGAGAAGGAATGAAATAGATTGAAATTGTTATTTTTTTTATTTTTTTTGAGGAACGAGGGATGAATGT